ACACCACCCCCACGCCCACCGCTTTGGAGCGCCCGCGAGCTTTCCCGACCGCCTCCCTGAGGGCTCTGGCTCCAGGCCCGCGGGGCCAATTCCGAATTTCCAGGGTTAGAAATGAGCCCACCTGGGCTCACGGAGCGCCGCCTCCTTCTCCCAAGCCCACTGCTCACTCCTCGCACCACCCCAGCCCAGACCCTCTTCCAGCCTCTCCGAATCTCGCAACTCGGTCCTCCAGCCACGGTTCGCCTGGGTTTACAAGTCACTTGTCAGAGGGAAAAAGTGGAGGGAGGGAAGAGACAGAACTTTAAATTTTTTCTCAGAAAGATATGATAAAGTGTGACCCGGAGGTGGCGTAGTAACATGCCCTGGTTCCATTAGGTAAACTGAGTCACTAACTCTGCTTCAGTGCACTCGCTGTTTATTTTATTGGTTTGTTATAAGAAACTAAATTTACTCCGAGTCTTAATTTTCTGTAAGATGATTTTTTGTTAAGCAGCTGCGCAGTTGGATGAATCTATTATTTCTTTGTTCTCCCAAAGAGTGATCATTGAAGCTGCATCCAGTTTTATTTTCACTGCGCTAACACAATACATCCCTCCTTTGTTTCTTTGTCTATGTGATTATGCAGACTTTTTATCTCCTCATTCGATGTTCATTAAAGAAAAGGAGTTATAAGATGAGCTGTTTCTTTTATTTCGTTGTCTTGTACTACCTTGTAGATCGGGGCTTGCACATACGGAGGTGTCGTTGGCAGCGGGTCACTTGAGTGACAAGGAAGATGGAGTCTGGGGCAGAAGAAAGAATTCTGTGCACCCAGAGGGCCTGGTGGCTCGAGGGCTCCCATGGGGATGAGGGCTGTGTTCCTCAGGTTGCCAGGTTTGGGGGCATGAGGAAGAACTTTTGCAAAACTTGAAAAGTCATCCCTGCTCTGTACCCTACACCTGTACATGTTTGCTTGAATACCACCTATGGTGGGAGTTGCTGCAGCCTTCAGATGGTACTTTTACAGCTTTCATTCCCCGTTGTCACGGTTGTCGTTACTGCCACTGCCTTCCCCTTTCCCATTCAGTTCCAAGTCAATCCCTTCAAGACCCTACTTTTTTTGAGGCGCAATTAGAGAGTTTTTTCTTTGGCTACAGTCTCTGAGGTTGGGCCAAAGAAAAAGATGTGTGTAACCCTGTTTGACTCCTGCCTCCTCCTTGCCCCCAGCCTCTGTGTGTATGAGAGACAGACAGACAGACAGACTTCCGAGACCATGCGTTACCTGCCGAATGCCGGGCTGATGAAAGCCGGGTGTCGGAACACTGCCGCTCCGAGGAAAGTGCTCAGGCCCAGCGGCGCCCCGCTGGGCGGCAGGCTGGCCGAGCCGGGAGGCGGAGGTAGGCTCGGGAAGGCGGCGGCGGCGGCGGCGGCAGCGGCAGTCCAAGCAGAGTCTAGCGCCGGGTGGTGCGGAGGGAAGGGGCTGGCGTCCAGGTAGGGGCTGAGCGGGTGGGTAGCAGAGAGCGGCCCCGGGAAGGGTAGCCCCGGGGGGTGGGTCTGCGCGCCCGCCTTCTCCCGCTTGCGCCACTTGGCCCGACGGTTCTGGAACCAGACCTGCAAGGCAGAGAGAGCCCAGGGTCGGCGCGGCTCGGGCCGGCGGGCGCACGGGGCGCGTACCCGTCCCTTCACTCGGCGCGCTGCAGGGGCCCCTTCCTTTCCACCGCGGCCCGCGCCCACCTGCCCCTCTTTGGCCTCAGGTAGTTTTCGGACATGTCTGGGGCCAAATGAGCAGTGAATAGGAGCCACAACTTCAAGTCAGCAGGAAACAGGACAAGCAAACCCTTTCTGCCCGCATTCCAACTGGGCCAGTTTTCCAAGTTTAAGGAACGCGATTCAGTGTGTTTAGAGTTGGGGAAACCAAAGTTTAAACGTCTGTGCTGACACTTGCTTGCTAGGATCTTTAGGCAGGTCACTTAAACCTCTCTGAACCTCAGTTTTCGAATCTGTAAAATGGGGATAATAAAACTTCACTCATAAGGCTGTTATGAGGACTGGGTAAAATAAGGCAAGTGAAAGCATGCATTCAATGGTGACTTTAGGGAATGGGCAGCCACCAAGAGATGAGGGACATACTTGTTTTACTGTATGTCAGCTATTTTCACCTATTTCAGATTTACGCAAGAGCTGGCAAAATTCTTGGCTCTGTATGGAAGAGGAAAGTGGAGAGATAGTTCATTTATTCTTTTCAGAAATATTTACTGAACACCTAAGAGCACTATGCTGGGTTCTGGGGTTCAGGGAGGGATGAGAGGGAGGGAAGAAGTGCTCGAGTTAATTAGCAAGCATACATTTCAAGGGGTCATTCCTCTATGAAATGAAACAGGGGTACACAGCCTGCTCTTGGCAGGGGCTCCCCGCAGGACCCAGTTCTATGCAGGAAGGCACTGACTACATGGATGAAGCAGGCAGCAATACCTGGGCGCATAGAAATCAGAGGGCAGGATAGGTGTAGACTTTTCACATCTTCAGAGCTAACAAGTCTTTTATTTCCTTTTGGAGATGTAGTTTAAATCGGTTATTTAAATAAGATAGTTCTAGGCTTGGAGGAGGTTTTCAGCCTGAGGTATTTTCCTAATTGCTAATAGAAAGCAATTTTAATAGAGACCTTTACCTGAAATATGGCAGCTACCATCATCTAAAAATAAACCCCAGGAGCATGAAATTATTTTTATGTGACCTGCTCATCACACCCACAGCTGGGAAGATATGCTCCTTCTCCCCTGAAGGCATTAATATTTTTAGGGCTGGGTTTATAACTGCACGCAAGTCTGAAAATTAAGAATGAACTCCAGGGCTATACAGAGTTATATTAAAATATAATGTAAATTATCCCAGAGGAATATATTTTAAAATGTGAAACACATCCATATTTTTCAAATCTACACACTGGGACTTGTTACCAGCAGTAGCATCTAAGCTTGGTTTGACTTCTAGACAGCCCCCCAGGGCAAGAAAAATCAAGAATCCAAATCAGTCAATTACTTCCAATTCTGCCAAAAGGGGGCCCTTTGACACCATTCCACAGCCTTCAAAATAATCTATTTGTGAATTTCAGAAACACTTCAGTGTGGAAACCCAGAGGCTTGAAAAAGTAAGACTGTAGATGGGACCGGACTGGGTGGGCAGCTTTTGTGTATCCAAATCTGTCTAGACAAGAATATCCGCCACTCCTTGATCACAGTGAAAGAATAAGGGGAACTGGGGGCAGTGGACTCAGAATGCCCTCAAAGAACGTGGAAACCTTTTTACAGACAGATCGTCTCTCCCGGCTCAACTGCAATTATCAAGATGTCCCCCTGCAATTCCTCATTATTGAATTAATACCTCTGAGGCCCCCCAAAGGTAAACGAAAGGACTCTAATAATTCATATTCACTTAATTACATCTTCTCCAGTGAATAGGGAGAGAGGAGAAAGGGAGGGGGCGCTCTCTTTCTTTTTAAAAGTTATTTAACTTTCCCACGACTCGTTCCCCTGAGCTGAAAATACGGAGTTGCTGTCACATCTCTGTTTGACAATGGAGAAATGTGTCAACAGAAAGGAGGGGACAGGCCTCATCATTAGCCCTCTAATGCAAGAAGCTGTTGTGTATTAAATGAGCCATATGGAATTTATTGTGCTTTATCAGCGCTTGATTTTGACTGTAAAGTGATTCACTCAGCTCCTAACCCGGGGACATCTGTTTTCTGTTGGCCATCGGGGCTGCTCAGTGTTGATCGTCTCTTTGGTTATGAGGCCTGGGTTCGGAAATGCACTCTGGTATGGGGCTGCAAACACCTTTAATAGCATTGCACTCACTCCCTATTAGATCAATGTGGGCTCATTGCTATAAAAAATGGGAAATCAAATAGCATTAGCCAGCTCCTTGTGTGGGGCGGAGGGGAAATCAAACAGCATTTTGCCTTCAAATGGCCCTGTTTGTTCTAGCACTAAGTGGGCTTTTATGAAGCCCGATTGGAGACTTAATCGCAGCCAAATACCTGCTTGGGGCTGAGCGGATTTGTCTAACAACCAAATCCATGCTCCATCCCATTATTTCAATCAGGAGAAGTAGGTTGGTGGATTGTTTCCTATAGGGGCTTTAGGGCTAGGGGCTCCCAAACTGCAGTCTCAGGGACTCTAAAGCCCTTGTTCTGATCCTGAACTCCTTCCTCGGGCTCCCAAACCCAAAAACCTCCCCCTTCCACCTCCCATGTCTGAAGTTTTAAATATCTTTGTGTGTGAGAGAGTGCTTGGGTCTACTTTTCTGATTCTGCTTCTCTTGGTTTTGTGAAGGGGATCTCAACCCTCCCCCGCCCACCTACCAACCCATCTCTCTCTCTCCTGCTGGCCCCCAGCCCTCATCCCTCCTTCTTCCCTCTGTTGTGCAGCTCACCTGGACTCGGGCCTCGGTCAAGTCCAGCCTCATGGCCAGTTCCTCCCTATAAGAAAGCAACAGACAGACAGGAGGTCACTGCAGGCCCCAGCAATGCCCTCTCAGCTATCCACTCCTCTATGGCAGGCCTACTCCACTAGGGTCTCCCCTGGCTGCCTGCCCCCAACCCCCAAACATATGGGCATTGCCATTCCATCACCCCTGGAGTGCTAACTATTTGACTGAAAATGCAAAAACACGAAGTACATTGCCAGATATAGGATATTATCTATTATATCATACTACATTCGTGTGTGACAAGCAAGGGTGGCTTCTTGAGTCTCTGAGTCTACAAACCTGGGTACACAGGTTCTCTCTCACTCTCTTAAGCCAGAGTTAGACAACACATACACACACACAGCTTACACCCTGTTTTGTCCTAATATTAAGTGGAATAGGAACTCAGCACTTAAGTAAGAAAATATTTTTCTGTCCCCTTGGTTTTATTCTGCCTTCTTTTTAAAAATTTCTCTTCCCTCCTTCTTTCTTCTTCTCTTTCCAGCGCTATGCCTTTCCCCCCATCTCTCTCTCCCCCGCCTTCCTCCCTCCATCATCCCCTTGGGTTACACTCCCCATTACCCTCTGCAGGTATGTTAAGCTTGTTAAGAGTTCAGTGGGGTAATTTTTCGATTAAACAAAATTCTGCGCACCTCCTGACTCCAGTGCCCACTACAAACCCTGCCCATCTCAGGGGAAGTCAATTTAACTGAAACCCTACCCCGTCATTGCAGTTATTACTGCGACAATTAAGGCAAATAGGAAACCATTAAGATGCTGTAAAACGGCTTACGACCTGTTTACCGAAAATATGAGTGCGCCGAGAATAATTGGCCCTCCGCTCGCTGATATGAAAGAGCGGGGGCCGCCGAAGCCTGGGACCTGGGGTTGCCCTGCCGGTAGGCCCCCAGTCCACACCTGAAACTTCAGCACCAGAGGTAAACCGTCTCCATAAGTGCCCTCCGTTGTCCCCAGCTACAGCGGGCATCAGCAAATCTAAAGCGGCACTTCAGGCTGGCTCAGGGCCGGAGCCAAGGGGCTCAAACTCCTGGGTTGGAAGGAGGTGGGGGTGGGGCGGGGAAAAGGAGCTGCCCCTCCTCGTGCACGTCGGTCCTCCCCCGCCCCCAAGCCCGCCAGAAGCTAAAAAAGGGCGGACCTGGATGCCAACTGACACCAGCTCAGTTTCTTCTTTGGAAATACACACGTATGATAAACGCAAAACGCTGGTCGGCCAATTCGCTATTCGATAGCACACATAGGTTTTTAAACTTATTTCCTTTTTTAAAGATAAGGAAAGGACTGGGTGACACAGGGGAAGACAAAGTGTAGCCCAAGCGATGACCAGGTTTAAGTGCCTTTGCCTGGCATTAAGTCCGCTCTTTTCTGTTTCCGGTTAGGAGGGTTAGGCAATTGCCAGGCCAACTACATTTTGGAGTTAACTCGGCCTCCCGAGCCCTAAGCAGCGATTTCTCCTCTGGTTCAAAGTGGCGGGCAGCATTCCCCTTCTAAAATGCACATTGAAAAGCTGCGCACGTCTCCTTTGAAGGAACTGCCCGCGCTTGACAAGCCCCGCGCTAGGCAGTCACCGATCCCTTTCTCCCCCTCAGTGGGGGACGCTTGCCCTAACCCTTGCTCCTCGCCTGAGCTCAGAACTTGGCCTTGGGGTGGGAGAGAAGGACCCCTACCTGGACCGGCGCCCCAGGTGGTCGGCTGAATAAGCTGGGGCCGAGGGTCCAGTCATCACACAGGCACATGTTTCCCAGAAAAACAAATGGAGGTGGAGTGTGACCAGGTGGAACACCCGGCTTGGACACTGATCCAAAGAGAAAATTCCCCCAACTGCTTTGTCTACTCCCTGCCAGGCTTCCAGCAATCATTGCCCACCCGGTAAACCCGTTTACATTAAACGCACGGTGGGTTTAATGTGTGTGTCGGGAGAGGACAGAGAGTAGAAGGGGAGAGTCTGGCTGGGGCCCCTCAGGTGTTCAGACACCAAACACTGCCCAGTTCTGATTTCCTTTGGTTATTTCAGGAGTCCTGAAACGACAGAACTCGAATCTTTTTAAAGGCCTTCTCCGCTGGCACAGGCTCCAGCTTCACTGCGAACTGCGTAACTGATACCCACCAGGCTCCTGGGGCACCAGGCGGGGGTGGCGAGCGCACAGCACAGCGACCAAAAATAGCCCCTGCTTTGCTCTGGCCGCACGACCGCGGACAGCGCTTCCTGAGCCTCGCCGGGGACCTAGCCCGGACTGCAGCTCCGGAGGCCTTGTGTCTGCCCTCTGCTGCGCGCGCGTCTCCAAGGTGGCGCTTTCCGGCGCTCTTTGGAGAGGCTGTTTCTTTTCCTCTCTCTAACTAAAACTTGTAATTTGAAAACATTAAACTGCAACGACCTTGGGAAGGAGAGAAACCATTCCAGCCTAAACTTAAAGCCCGAACCGGGGTAGGGGTGGGGGGAGTGGGTGGTTTGGGTGAGCAAGGATGGGTGTGTTGGGAGGGCGCTCCTCCGCAGAGTCCAGGAGCCAAGTGTCCGCCCTAAGGCCGGGGCCCCTGCCCGCCCGCTGTCCCTCCCTGGGGCCCGCGTGCGCTTTCCGCCGCTGCGGCCGCGACCACCCTACGCGCTTACCTGGTGAAGACGTCGGGGTAGTGCGTCTTCTGGAACGCCCGCTCCAGTTCTTCCAGCTGGTAGCTGGTGAACGTGGTGCGGTAGCGCCTCTGTTTGCGTTTCAGCAGCCCCTCCTCCGAGTCGCTGCCGGCAGACAGGCACACGCTGTCCTCGCCGTCCTTGCCCTCAGCGTCTTCCGGGTGCAGCAGCAGCTCTTCCTTGGGTGACAGCTCCCCGCCCTCTGTGACCACTGCAGCGGCAGCTGCTGCGGCCACGGCGCCA